TCAAGTCAAGAAGCTGTATTTGAACCCATCAGGTGGGATGGACACGTCACACGCTCTTAAACAGCTTTTCCAGGAGACTTTCTGGGAAGCGGAGCAGCTGTGCACGCCGCTCCAGCACGCCTGGAGCCACAGCCCCCGAACCGCAGCAGCGGGGCACAGGGGCAAGGCTTTACTACAGCCCAGCTGCCCACATCCCGCAGCCCCAACAGGCAGAGGAAGCTCCGTGTCAGTCTGGAACGAGACAGCAAGGGCAGAGGTCGCTGCCAGCTGATCCACCCAGGTAAAAACTCCTCTTGCCAGGGGCCATTCCAGCTTTCCCCACCCGTGTGCAGGAGACAAAAGGTCAGAGCGAGGCAGAAGAGGATGCGAAGGGTTAGTGAGGGACAGAGGATTATCCAAGTGAGGGACAGTGGATTATCCAAGTGAGGGACAGTGGATTATCCAGGATACTCTGCTGAGCCCTCCCAGCCGGCAGGGCGAGTGCCCAGAAACCTGCATTTAAGTCAGAACAGCAGGAAAAACAAAAGTCCCCCCAGGCATGGAGTGGTGGTGCTGCTCCTGGCAGCAGCGATGCTCCAGCTGGTCAAGGCTTCGTGGAAGAATTCCCCGGCACGCCTGGGATGGGCCCCTCTCACAGCACACCCCAGAAGATTTCCCCCCGCCACTTGCACGAGTCCTCACCTTCTTCTTTCCAAATTCCAGCTGTTTCTGCAGGGTGTACATCTGCTCTGTCCTCTCCATAGCACGAGCTCCCTCATTGCAGTTCTTAACCAGCTAGAAAAAGGACAACACCAGCAGTGAAGGGTCAGGCGGCTGCTCTGCTTCCCTGAACAGGAGAAAGAGCCGAGTCCTGACACAGGTTTCAAGCCAGGTTTGGGGAAAGGCTGCTCCTCCGCTCCTCTACACTTTGCTCTTTGCTTTGCTTACTGCTCTTTGCCCAAACCTCCAAAAACCATGGCAAGTAAGCGTTGCAGCTTGCCATCACCTCGAGGGAGGTTCTGAGAAGAGAGAGCACTAATGGAGCAGACGACACCGAAGGGAAGGACAAAAGGTGACCAAAGAGGAAAGAAGAAAAGATGACAAGAAAAAGGAAAAAAAACCACAAGATCAGGTGCAAAAGGTGAGCAAGGGAGAAGAGGTGTGCATCCAGCAGCTACCTCGGGCAGAGAAATCTCAAGTAAACAACGTAGGGAGGGAAAAAGAGAGGCCAGAACAGCAGGCTCGGGGCCGGAGTGATGGCACGGCACCCTGGAGGGAGGAAAGGTGGGGAGCTGGCAGCATGCCTCACCTTGCTGATGGCTTTCAGAGCGCTGGTGGCAGCTCCGTACGCCGCAGTGCACGCTTTTGTTTTTTGACAGACCGTCTAGAATTTCGAGACAAGACGCTTTAGTGATATGGCGAGACGGAGACCGGCGCGTCAGCCGCTTCCCTGGGATTTCAGGATGCGGCACACGCTCCAGCCGCCCCCGCCGGCCAGCCTGGCAGCGTTCAAGGCGAGGTTTAACAGCGCTGGCAGCTGTGAAGCTGGTTTCTGCTGCAGCTTTCGTATCAGACACGTGCCTGACCATCGCTGCCACCCTGCACCCCGGGCAGCCCCCTGGCCCACACCCCTGCAGCCCGTCACAGGCTGGGAGCCGTGACTAGAAGTCCCACGTCCAGCAGCTTCGCTGTTCAGAGCAGCTGGGTGCAGGAGTCCCGGATTTCAGCGAAGGTTGTGCAAGACCTGCTTCTCCCTTCCTGGGCCGCCTGGCCGTTAATCAAACAGGACTTTGTGCCACCCCCACCCTGGGTATCCAGCCGCAGCACAGGGCACCGAGGAACCTCCTGTCACCCAGGCGGGTGGCTGAGGCGTGACGCGTTATATATATTTAAGCTGCACCTCTGACACCCCCAAGAAGCGGATTGCTCTGGATCGAAATCCTGAATACAGGCTCGGGCAGCCCAGCCTCAGCTCCCAGGCGGATGAGAGCCCGAGCAGAAGCTGTCCCGGGCTCAGCAAACCAAAGGCGGGTACAACACAGCCACCTCTGCGGAGGCGCCAAGCAACGCGCCGTGTGACTGACTTACATCCAACAGCAGAGGAAGCCGTGTTACCCTCTGCATAGGGAGAATGAGAAATGAGATCATTGGCAGGCCTCCACATTCTGGTTTCCTTTCAATTTGTTTCAAGGTCTCTTTAAATAAGGGGTTTGTGGTTCTGGAACAGGACAAGAAAGCTCCATTAACTCTGTTCTTCAGTTACTGAGATTTTCCAGCAGCTTTCCATGCACGAGACGTGCAGTGCAGCGACGGCACTGCCTCCGGTGCTCCACGGCAGGCTGCTGGGCTCAGCCGGGGCGGAAAACGGCCTGATCCGTTAGCAGGTGGTGGAAAAGCACCTGGAGACGTTGCGTCCCCCAAAAGGCAGGTAAGGCTGTAGACGTACAAACAGCGGACACAAACTTGACCGGTTTGATCTGGAGACAAACAGCCTCCGTACGTGTCCCTAACACGCCACACGCGTGTTACTGACCTGGGCAAGACCCAGCTGACTTCAGTGCGTGGTAGCGTTACCCCCACTTATCCCCATCCTTCGCCCTACAGCACGACACAAATCACATCCGAATCACCCAGCACCGAGGTCTAGAACTTGAACTCTGCTCAGAAAGGAGACGGCCCCCCTTCGGGGAAGGAACCAGCCTCGGGTACAGTAGGAGCTGCTCCTACAGCATCCCTGTAGCCCAGAGACCCTTGTAGGCAACTGCCTGGTGAGCTGTACTCACAGCAGCTTCTGAAGTGTCCTCTGCTGGTAGACTTCATTGGAGCAGTAGCTGATGTAAGGACTGAAGTGGTTCGAGGCGTGTTCTTCCACTATGTCACTGATGTCAGGAATCAGGAGGTTTTCCTGGTACCGCTTCTCTAAGTCTTCAAAAAAGCTAAAAGGGGAGAATTTCCAGTAACTTCACTCCATCACTCGTCAGGGCTGGACAAACTGCACAGAGGTATGATTAACAGTGTTCCCACCACAACTTTTCGCCAGCTGTCCCAGAGCCCTGGATCCCTTCTGCACAGGTCGGCTCCACGTGGCTGAGACAGCCACGT